GTGATGGGATTGTGTGTGTTGTGGTTTTGTGTGTATGTATTGTGGTGGTTGGGGGTGAATAGTCAGTGTATGTGGCTGTGTGTGGTGATGGGATTGTGTGTGTTGTGGTTTTGTGTGTATGTATTGTGGTGGTTGTGGGTGAATAGTCAGTGTATGTGGCTGTGTGTGGTGATGGGTTTGTGTGTGTTGCATAACGCTGTGTGGAAGCTACCTGGTCTGTCGCTCCGCACAAAGCTTCAGGTCTTCTCGGCCACGGTCATTCCCACCCTTCTCTACGTTTGCGAAACGTGGACACCCCTAATGGAACATCTTCGCCGGTTGGAAACATTTAGGCTAGCCTGCCTACGATCCATCCTGGGTTTAACCAGGCTGGATTGTGTGAGGAGCTAACAAAACCTTGAAAGATCTGGGCAAGGTCCCATCGGTGAGCTCCTCTGGCAGGCAAGGCTGCGTTGGCTGGGTCATGTAGCCCGCATGCCCAGCCACCGCATGCCAAAACAGCTTTTGTTCGAGGGGGCTAAACGGGCGTGGCACGGGCTAGAGAAGAGATGGAGTGATGTGGTACAGGAGGACGTGGAGCTGAGTGGACTTGCCGATGACTGGTACCAGCGGTGTCAAGATCGGCCTCTGTGGAGGAGGCTCGTGAAGGACGCTACTGGGCATTTGGAGGCAGGCGCCCTCCAACAACAACGGAGGGCGGAGGAGCGACGCTCACAATAACGAGCGGAGCGCCGGGTGGCTAAAGCACAGCAGGTTGGCACAGTAGGGGGCACAGGTTGTGCATCAGCCAGTCATCTCGGTCATCTCAGTCAGTCGAGCCGTGGCACCTGGGTCTGCCCCGTGACCTCCTGCCAGCGGGCGTTCGACACTTCACGTGGCCTCCAGGTGCACATGGCCTGGCACAAGCGTCGTGGTGATGTCACCGCCACTTAGTGGCGAATGGCGGTTGTTGTGTGTGTTGTGGGTTTGTGTGTATGTATTGTGGTGGTTGGGGGTGAATAGTTTGTGTATGGGTGTGTGTGTTGTGGTTCTGTGTGGTTTGGTCGGGGTGCATAGTATCTGTATGCGGCTGTGGTGATGGGTCTGTGTGTGTGTTGTGTTTCTGGGTGTGTTGTGTTTCATAGGTGCTCACTAACAGCACTTGCCCCAACATTCTGTTAAGGCTATACAGGGGATGTTTGTCTTTGTTGTGTTTCTCTGTGTGTGTGTTGTGGTAGTGGGTGCATAGTATTTGTATTTGACTGTGTGTGTTGCGACTGTGTGTGTGTGGCGACTGTGTCTGTGTGTGGTGACTGTGTGTGTGGTGACTGTGTGTGTGGTGACTGTGTGTGGTGGTGACTGTGTGTGGTGGTGACTGTGTGTGTGGTGACTGTGTGTGGTGGTGACTGTGTGTGTGGTGACTGTGTCTGTGTGTGGTGACTGTGTCTGTGGTGGTGACTGTGTCTGTGGTGGTGACTGTGTCTGTGGTGGTGACTGTGTCTGTGGTGGTGACTGTGTCTGTGGTGGTGACTGTGTCTGTGGTGGTGACTGTGTCTGTGGTGGTGACTGTGTCTGTGGTGGTGACTGTGTCTGTGGTGGTGACTGTGTGTGTGGTGACTGTGTGTGTGGTGACTGTGTGTGTGGTGACTCTGTGGGTGTAGGGGGATGGGGTGAGGATCAGTGTGGGGTGAGGGGATGATTGTCGTGTGTGTCTGTGATCAGGCTGTGTGTGTGTGGGTATGTGTTTGTGAGCATGTGGTGTGTGTGTGTTTGGTGGAGGTGTGTAATGTGTATGTAGTTAGGATGTATGTGCGGGTGGGTCGTGGGGGTATGCAAGGCAGAGTGTGTGATGGGGGTGAGCAGTGGGGGTGGGGGAGCGCTGTGTGTGGGGGTCTGCCTGGCTTTGGGGGAGGGGTGATGGAGTTGGGGGGGTGTACAAGTGAGTCAATTTATACACCGTGTAATGTGTGTGCATCATCATTTAGCCAAGTTTGATCCACCGCTTGATGGCTTCCACCCTTTAAGACCTCGTGATGTAACAACCGATCTGGTGCATACATAATACGCTGATCTCGCCTTGGTATACATGAGCGGCGTGGGTTCAATCATGACCCTGACGCCTGTTGTACATTTGGAGTTTGCGTGTGTCTGCTGCCCGTGGTGGCGTTGATGTTTCTCCGGGTCCTCCTGCCACCGCCTCCCACACACATTGAGAATCAACGTGTTTTTAGACGCTTTCTTTTAACTCACTCTGTTTGTCTGTTGTCGTATCTTCAAATCTTGTAACTCAATTTTAACCCACTTCCCAATGTGGTATCGACTGCAAACTTGGTATACATACGTCATACTGATGACAATACTATATTCTATCATAAAAAATAGATATTTTAAAATATTATTTTTTATATGTTATGTTTCGGCTTGGGTCTAATTGTCCACGCTCAACTGACGTTGGCTGTAATTGGCCACGGCCCCCTTACGTTGTGGCAAGCTTCGGGGCCACTTCCTGGAGTCGTGGAGTTCTTACATTACTAGTACGGTACATTTCATTAAAGCGTGTTTTAAAAAAAACGTGTTTTTAAACATTGCTTTTTAGAGTAGAGTATTTGACTGCTGTAAAATTTCCCACACGATAAGCCGCTTCGTTGGGCTATAAATTTGTGGGCAGGTCGCTTCTGAAAGAGAGCTACATATTTCGGTGGGCCTTAGCTGGTAAAATGATAAAAAAAAAGTCCTTTTGGCCAAGTTGACTTCCCTGGCTGCCACTCTGTCATTCGCCTTGACCATGAGCCATCAAACCTCAACGAATCATGCACCGAGCCAATTCGCTTCTCGGAACACTCACCGAGATGTCTTGAACTTCCATCTCGTTCCGTCATCCACGTGTCCCCTTCTCTCGTCCTGTCTAAGTGTAAATCCAAGCATGGGCCTCTCTCAGCCTCCACACGCTTTGTCACGTTTCTTGCATTGGCTTTGGTCGTGTTTTCGGATGCATTCGTCAACTGCAGGCAATATGCACTCCGCAAATTTTCTCAATTCGGATTACACCGCAACATCGCCCCCCGACTGCGAACACTTGGCAAGACCCTCCCGAGACTCGGGCTTCTCAGGATAAACAAACGTAATCATAATAATAGGCAACGTGTTACATAAAATATGCATGCGCAGCAGGTGTGTTATGCGTACGGTACATGACGATATCCGAAACCACATTATCTACATGCACTGCATATACTGTACACGACCTAAATGTAGACCGCTGATGATGGACGTGGTTATGTAGTGTAATGTATAGGCGCGTGCCTATACATGTCATGAACGACGAACCTATGATCTATGGGCAAGAGACGTCCCACGACTTCATTTCGTCTGGCCCAGAGCCACATGACACCGAACACTGAGACAAACCTCTTCCGTAACAATATGTATCGGTCACTGCAAACATTTTTGGAGTCGACGTGTTTTTGAGAGGTAAGCAAGCCTATAACATAACCTGCAGGGGGCATTGATTGGCCTGTAGGTGTACAGCAAGTAGGTTCATTCCAATGGATTGTAGAGTTTGTTTAAAAAAAAATAATTCCACTTGCGTTGATTTTCTCGAGACACTCCAGTTTTGGTCTACACCCAAAATACTCGAAAGTAACTGGCCAAACATCTCAAGCAGAGCCCCCTTGGATAGTCTTTAAACCTCCGTGATACTTTCCCGAATAAACACATCGATTTCAAGCATGGTGACTAAATGTGGCTTTGGTAGGTAAGTGTTACCGTGGTTGGATAGTGGCTGGTATATTCAGTGGCTGTGGATGTTTGATGGCTTTCGGTACTGGTCACTAAAGTGAGTGGACCCATGAAGTGTTAATTGACCTGACAGCAGCTGGAAGGTGGATGATATATTTTTTGAAAACAGTTTCCATCGAATGAAAGCTGGTTGGTAGGAGTGTAATTGGTTGCAGTGTCTGAAAGGTAGGTGCTTGTCCATTTGGATGATAAATGGAAATTGGCTGATAGGTGGGTAGATGGTCGGGTGACTGTACGTGCGATGTTTTCAATGATTGAAGCCTGGTAGGCGGATTGGTGTGCATTCGGATAATCTCAATTAATGGAGGGTGACTGGTAGTTTGGAGTGGGTGTGTGTGGGTATCTGAGTCAGTAACTTAGGTTTTCAATTACTACAGGTTGGCTGTATATTGGTTGGTAGGTGAATGCATATTTTAGAAGGCAAGTGGTTGACGGGTTCCCTGGTAGATGCGTGGGTATGTGGATACATTCGTGGTAGGTTGGTTGATAGATGTGTGTGTGTTGTTCGGCGATTCTTAATGTGCGTAAGTGGATAAGTGGATGTGTGGGTGGGTGGATGCGTGTCTGGAATATAGGTGCATATTTTTATCGGTATATATGTGGATAGGTGTGCGTGTGTGCCTTCATAGGTGCACCGACAGTCTGGTGAAGCCGAAACTGGGGATCTTTGTCTTGTGTGTGGGTGGGTGAGCGTCTCACTGAATGTAAAAGGTGGATACGTGTGCGCGCGCGTGTGGCTTAGGTGGCTGTGTGGCCGTGGGTGGGTGAGGGATGCAGTGGCTGGGTAGGTGGGTGGGTTTGCAGTGGCTGGCTGGGTGGGAGGCTGAGGGAGGAGGAGAGGGAGGGAGGGAGGAGGCGGCGAGGCAGGGGAAGGCTGTAAAGCGCTCGTCCTCTCAATACGCGGTGTTGAACGCCACATTTGGCCGCATGCCAGAAGGGCGATAGCAGCAGCAGCAGCCCCAGCGTTCGCATTTTTTTTCTCCCGAATTTTTTTTGCCTTTTTCTACCGCTTCCTCCGTCCCACCCACGGGTAAGGGTGAAAAACAAAAAGAGAGAGAGAGCGCGAGAGAGAGAAGAGAGCAAAAGAGAGGGGTGGTTCACTCTTCCATCCCTTCGCTTTGTGTATTTAATTCCGACTGCTTGTAAAGCGGGGCCTTTCGCACCGCTCCGGCAGTTGTCTCTCCGGTGTGTTCTCCTCCTCCTGCTGCTGATGATGATGCTGCTGATGCTGCTGCTGATGATGCTGCTTGGCTGCTGCTGCTGCTTTCCACCTTGGCTCGAAGAGCACTTGCCGATCGATGCAATGCGCATTCGCTTTTCGCATTCGTATAGCGTTGGGAAATTAATGTCGCTTCTTTGGGAAAAAAAATCAAATTTGTTTTGTAGCACGTTTCATTATTGTTGTTGTTGTTCTTGTTTGAGCTGCTTAAGATCGCGTCTGATTTTATGTTTATTAAAGGGGCGTTTTGTTTCGTAAAATTATTGTTGTACATAGTAAGTGGTGGTATACGTGCAGTGATGCATATGGCATTATTATTATTCACACGGCAGTATAATACACTGCTTTAGTAGAGTATCAGTCATGCACTCTAGTGCTCATGTAGGATCAGGTATGTATTTTTATACGTATCGTTACGGTACAATGTGCCCTCCGTCTTACATATATAGCGTTACATCAGCATTACGGCTACATCGGTATTAGTGAGCGTAGAAGCTTATGCAGGCATTAGGATGTGATGTGTATTAGAGGATACACAAGACGGGATTATTGCACAGGTAGGTTGCAATAGTACGGTACTGTACGGATAACACAGGCATTTTAGACATGTGGTGGGTGTAAATACCTTGTGTGCACGACCATCGGCAATGTGTTAGTATACGGGCTTTATACGGTTGTTGTGCCGTGTTGTATAGGCGCCTAGGGGGTCCTACAGTCTATAGAACGACATTGGTATTCCTGTATTCGTAACAATAGCTTAACAGCACGTGTTGTTGCTGCTGCTGTTGAACAATAACAACCGTAGCCTCGGCCGGTTACTTTTCCCCAACAGTAACTACGTAAGTATGCATCGACTTTAATGTTAGCATTGTATGGTGACATTCTAGTGCGGCCTCAACTGCACAACCATCACCACCACCACCCGCTGTGTTGAGAATGGCTATTGTTGCACTGAACTGCAATTGGCGTACGGTCCGGTGTTTATTTTGTAATTCTTATTTTTTTCATTCCGCCACTCAGCGGCTGAAATTCTTTCTCAACCCGCAGGCATCCGCTAGTTATTGCCGTCGTCATTTAGACTGCAATTTATTTTTGCGCGCGTGCCACGCAGTGCTTGCCGTTTCGTTGCCATCCTTGTGCACGCGCGAACTAACAACCCTCCCCCCCTTATCCCTTTGCTGCTGCTGCTCCTCGTATTGCCTCTCCCCATGTCACAGACACCAACACCCTCCTTCCCCCCTTGTACCGTTCTTCAACCATGAGCGATACGGAGGGACCCTCTGAACGCGGTGCTGCCGGAACCCCATCGACCGAACAGCCACTCAAGCGGGGTCGCGGACGACCACGAAAGCCTCAGGTACCGCACACACTTTGTTGTTGTTGTTGTTCTCCATTGGTGAATGCGGTTGTGTTTTTTTAGTTGTTTGCCGTATTGCTAACTTACACAAGGCACACACACACGCACACAGGCGCGCGCACACTCCTAATCATCGATGCGAGTTAAACATATCTCAGATTCAACTCATCACGGTTTGATTAATCGTATCGGATGTCCAATCGATACTATTCAATGTAACGTACACCGGGCAGGCACGTCTCTCTCAATCTCATCAATTCCCCAAACACCGGCTCATTCACAGTCTCTGTTAATATTCAAAACAAACGTCCAAAAGGTCTAATCGATTACTAAGTCACGTAACGCTCATTCGCTCACAGGTACAATTCAACAACTGTGCAGGGAACGCGGTGATGTACGCATTCATGCCTTTTCACAAGGATCTAAAACTTACAGGCGCACTTAATCTCTTCTCGACATCAGCTATTCGCACGTTAACTTCAACTGCGGGCAAAACGCAATCTACAGCAAATGCAACTGCAGGCGTTGTACATACATTGTGAAGCGGTCAACTCTCGCATTAACCCGGGTGCCACTTCATTCACAAAGTCAACAGGGGAAACAGCGTTGTCTACTCTAACGTTAAAACTCCTTTCATGACTATTCGTACATTCAAAAAGCGCACAAAAGTCTCGTTAAAGTCGCGCGTCAACCGCGAACAAACGTGTACACTGTTACACAAATTGGTTTTCCCCAGCGTGATGTAGAAATGCGAAGAGCGAAAAGACGAAATACCGGTGGGCAACCCGTCTTGGCAAATCACGCAGATCGCTGCGTTTTTTTCTCTGGCTGCGCAATGCAAAACGCACAAAGTTGGCGTTGCATTAAAGCTTTGCTCGGTCACCGCAACGCGACGATTCATGGGGACGCTTGTTTGTCAGTATCAAAGTATGAGAAAAATAAGAATAGGCTTTGCCCTGTCCGGCAATAAAACCAGGAGGCGTTAAGATGTTCAAACATGTTCACCACAAGTAACGCACGCACGCGCGCGTGTGTGTGTGTGTGTGGCGTGTGGTTAACGCGAACTTGATTCCTCGCAAAAGCTTTATATTTGGTATTTGAACATATTAAACACCTCCTGTTCTAGTGCCAGAAAGGATGCAGCCTATTCTTATTTTTTAACACGCCTACTCGTGTCCGTCCGTGCATTTTGAAAAGTTAAAAGACGTTCAACACCCCCCCCCCACCCCCCCACATCAATTATATTATTCACACAATTAAGGGATTCCCCCCTATAGCCCGCACTGGTTCATAGAAGACGCACGGCAGATTTAGACGGAGGTGGCCTTGTCGCTTAACAACGTGGGCTCGTTCGGTTTGCCGTCGACGTCGTTGACAATGCAACCCCGAAACGATTCGCAGCCTTCTCGCGGCAAGTGGGTTCGTAGGTACCCCCCACCCCCCGACTAATTCGCACAGCGATTTGGGGGTGCGAATAGGTTGCCAGGGATATGCCCCTCAAATGCTGGAGCTGGCCATCCCGAGGCGTGCGAGCGTTGTGCTGCTCGGCGTTCGTCCCGTCGCGGCCCACGGCGTATCCGTACGCCAGGGTGAATGTTCCGTGCGTCTAGTAAAAGTTGCAACGTTACAACTCGGCCCAACATGTTCGGTGACTTGTGCGCGAATTGGGTGAGGTCGATGATAGGCGAGTGAATAGTGCCGCGTCCGGCGGGCACCGCCACAGCCTGTGAACACAAGTGGGGTGCGTTCTGTAACGTTGGTGCCATAAACCTGAAGGCGAATGTTGTATTTATTATATACGGCGGCTGGGTGAGGAGAGGGGGTGTCATGTGAATAGTGGGAGTGAATAGGTGAGCTTCTCTGTCATGGGAGAGTAAGTGGGGGGAGTGGGGCTGGATGAGAGGGGGGGGGGATGTTATGTGAAACGTGTGGGGAGTGTGAATAGGTGAACGTCTCTAACGGGAGAGTGAGTGGGGCTGGGTGAGAAGGGGGGATGTCATGTGAATAGTGTGGGGAGTGTGAACAGTGGGGGAGTGAATAGGTGAGCTGTGTAACAGGAGAGAGTGGCGAGGCGGCTTCTTCATCCCCATAGCGAGAGCACATGGGGGGGGTGGGCAAGGACCTCTCTCGTCAGGGCCTGCCCGTCGAGCAAGCCTCCAAGTGCCTGAAGAATCATCTCAAATGGCCCAGAATTGGCGAGTCACTTGTTGAGTGAAGGTACACAAAAATAATAATAGGACAACTCTAAAAACAACCCCCCCCCCTGTTTTTAAATTGAACACGTTTGGTCATTGTGTGAGTTTATGTGGGCAAGAATTTTTTTTTTTTAATGCTCCGTGGCTAATTCAAATCCATAGGCCGCACTGTGTACGTAGGGGAGGCTTCATTTGGAGCGTGTTTGTGATCATGATGCTGCTGCTGTTATGCTGTTGAGCGGCAGGTGAAATGATTCGGTGGGTCGTGGAACTATCCGCAGAACGCATTGTGAATGGCGTTTGTTGTTGCGAAATGAAGTGAAAGAGGAAGAAAACATTAAACAATTGCCGGTTCCGTTTGCACAGGTACTGCACTGGTTAGCACAAGCGGTGGGCCTTGCAAATTGGTGTATTTTGTTAACATAAAAAAAACCCACTCACATTGAGTTTAAATGATTATGAAAGGGAAAAAAATGTATGTTTTAAAACTCTCTCAAGCCCGCTCGTGGACGAGGGTTTCAAACTTGTCGTTGCGTCTCGCAAAAAGAAAATAAAGCTTGAAACACATCTGAGAGAAAAAGCTCCCAAAGTTCACAGTTTGCGAAAAAGCACAAAAGCCGCAATAACTCCTCGCCATTACATGAAACGAACGGCGAGCTTAACATTTTCCAAATAAACGTAATGTTATTAATTTTACAGAAATAACCGTCACATCAAATGTGGCAACAAATACCGTGGAGATTCAAACGAACTATGTGAAAGCTTCGCTTACTGCATATAAGTGCTTTAACTGCCAATCAAAATGCTCAGATTGTAAATGTTGTGCTGTACTAGTGACGAATTGGCATGTTCTGTTTACGTGACAACCCTTACTAGCTGGCTGTGTCGGGTGGTGGTGGGTTTTAACGACACATTTATATATTTACTCGATCTAACCCAAAAAAAATATCTCAAAACTGCTTTTTTTAAAAAATCTCAATCCTTGCTCAAAACGCCAATCCTTCTCAACAATTTATTTCCTTGTTTTTTTAAGGCTCCTGTTAATCTTCTAAAAGGGCTGCATTCTCCTTTTAGCCATTAGAAATTTAAGAGAAGCCTTGTTTTTCCATGTTACTGTCTTATTGAGTAACAGGCGCCCTGCACCGCCACCATCCCCACCCCCACCCACGTTGCGTCTGCTCCAAAAACAAAAGTGACAAAATTGGTGGACAGAATCTCGGGCCACCCTCACTCTTGTCACTCGAGGCCTGCAGTCGGTGTTTTTCCTATCGCTGATTCTGCTGCGTGTAAATCGTGGGGATATAACGCCTTCCCCATTCACGACCAAAGCTGCTTTTCCCCCAAAAAACACCGTTCCTCAACCAAATCACCCTTGTGTAACTGCTGAGCGAGGAAGCTTCCAAACTCTTAGCTGACCGATCAGACTGAATTTACACTACACGCCATTGCCACAGGACTCGGTGTTGTTTTTTTTTGCTCCATACTTAAGGGTAATGTTTTTGTTTACGTGCTTTTTTCTTTCCTCTCTGTGTTTAAATTATATTTGTGGCTGGCTTGCGGTGTGTGGTTTGTGTGGGAGTTTTTGTTTGCCATTATTTGGTGGTGGTGGGGGGGCTTCTGGCTTTGTAACATTGCTAGAAAGTTTAGTTTGACCTTGCTCACCTTTTCCATTTCCTGTCACATTTGTTTGTGTGTTTTTAAAGTTATATTGAACACAATCTCGAGATTGCTTCAGATAACCGGGGCCACCCGTTTTTTGGAATTGCCCAATGGAGTGTGTTCCCCAAAATGAAAGTCACAACCAACTTGGTCCTTTTATCAAATCTTGTTAAAGAAAATCGTACATTTTGCCAAAGTTTTACAAACAGTATGCGGCACAACGTCGTAGATAAATATATTGACATTTGAATTGTATTGTTTGATGATGCCGTTTGCTGGATGGACATGATGAGACTGAATGGGATTGCATTTGGAAAATGGAGGGTGATTCTTGGTGCATGTTTGTAGGAAATGTGCTACTCACATAATTTTCATGAATTACAAATATATTGTCGGACCATGGATTATTTTTTGTAAATTAATATAAACCTTTCCCTGTTACTACATATCAAGGTAATTATTCCATTATACGCTTTGTTCATCTCTATGGCAGTTAATATATGTTCTTAAATTTTTTTAGCAGTTACTGTTTTAGATGTTTAATATTTCACCTTTGCTCGGTAGATATTTTATTCTGTTAGACGTATATGTTGTGATTTAAACCTTATTTCTACTTATATGTTAAACATTTCTATGAGCTGTACTGTAATCATCCTAATATGGTTACTTATAAACAATGCATATTTGTTGTCTGACGAATCATAGATTTTCTGAACTACAATTAATATATTTAGCCAAACTAAAGTAGCTTTGTACTTTCAAGGGACCAAATGGGTTACGCAAAAATGGCTTGGTGTATGTATGTACGTTGAATTTCCTTCACACCGTACTTTGTTAAATGTCTTCTTTTGCACCGTATGTAGCCAACCCTGCTCATCGGAGGTGCGCAGATTGATCAGGATATGTCAAGGCATTGTTTGTTGCATTTGCACCGAACGTGTCCTTGGTTGTTAAGGAAAGCTATCTAACTGGAACAGCCACAGTCTCTGTGGGAATCGTGTTTTGTTTAAAACTGTTATCTGAGCGTAAGACCGGCAAAATCTTGGGTGACGCAGTTGAGTAAACCTTGTCCGTTATGGACGGCCGATGTACCTGCTGATTGGCCAGAGGTGTTGAACTTTGGAAAACCGGTGCACCGCTGACCACCCTGACCACAAAGAGGTGTTCACCAACGGAACTTTCACCCCCCCCCACCACCACCTCGTAAATATGAAAAAAAACGTCTCTGCGAAATAGTTTATGGAGACGACCCCTCGTTGAAGGTTCAAAGTACTTGCTGGCATTTCTGGTATCTTGATGTTTTGGGCTTCACAGCTCTGGACCAGGGGGTGGGGGAGGGGAACCATGGAACATTGAATGTTACAATGGGGGGAGGGGGGGAGAAGGGGGGTGTAATGCATTAAATAAAGGAGGATTTTTCCCTTTGTAAAGTTGCGTTATACCTAGCTGCACCTGCGGTGGACCTGCCTAGTCCTGTTGCGGGCTACTTAATCAGCGTTGCTTAGAAACTGATGCCCAAGTATGGTTAGAACATTGTGAGCACAGGTCCCAGCGATGCACTTAATTAATGGAGAACTGTAAGCAGCATGATGAGAAAAAGTGTTGAATGGTGTGGCGCATTCGTTTGTTAATTGTTTCGTGATCGCGTGATTTTTTTTCTCCCCCCACGTGTTTTCAGTCATTGTTTTTTTATTTGCTCTTTAAAAGTAATTAGTCCAGCGCACTACTTTACCAGAACACGTATTTTTTGCATTCGGTACAATCAATGAAACCGAACGGTCGTTGATTTTCCCCTAAAGCTTAATTCAAAGAATACACACATTTTTTTTTTAAAATATAACGTTGCGATGGCAATCGTAGATACACGTAAAGTTGATCTACAAATAATAATTACAGCTCTTTGTCAAACCACTGTTAGACAAGGGGCGTCCCATCATCTGTGTCGGTCATGGGGGGGTAATCTGACCATACTTCACCGCGCCGCTCAATGCGAGTTGGCGAGCGGTGGAGTGGCAGCCAGGACATGGTTTTTACATTATTTACCTCGCCACTGATGTTAAGCCATTGTCGGGAATCAAACTCGGGTAACACGACTGATAGTGCAGTGTGTTAAATGCAGCGGCACTGTTCCACTCGCTATCTGCAGTACAGTACTGTGTGCTTAACCAGCATTGGTGGTTTAAACGTAAACAGGGCTTAACTGTATCCATGTGTGTATTACTGTACTGTAAGAGCGTATTATGTGGAGGGTATGTTTACGAAACGTTAATTGTGTCATTTAACATTATTGCGTATTGTTGTGCGTTTAGTACCATGGGACGCATTTGATTTATTTGAAAACGCTGCGACTCTCAGTAAGATAAAGCGCACTCGTGCGTTTTGGGTTTGGGTTCAAGCGCTTCCACTGAGGCCAGGAAGAATGCTTGGAACGGACAGTGCCATTTGTGAAACGTTGAACGGTCGTCTCCACTGGCAGGAACCCTCAGGCCCACCGCTGCCCAAGAAGCCAAGAGGTCGGCCGAAGGGAAGCAAGAACAAAGGGCCCTCGAGAGCGGGGCTAAAGGTAAAAAAAAGCAACCGGACGACCGCGGTGCACGCTCTCGCAGAGAATCGACCCGAGACCTCCACCTTCCACGCAAACGATAGCGCATCTTGCAATTGTGGTCCCGTCTGTTCCCCCCACACCCCCCCCCCCCCCCACACTGCTGCACCATCTCACCCCTGCTGCAAGTGCTGCACCCTCCCTCCCAACACGACTTGGGCATTCTGGTGACGTTTTTCAAACAACGCTCGTCCGTTTGAACTAAACCGTCAATCTTTTTGGGGGCAGACGGGAAAAGGCGGGGCGACGCAGCTCGCCCGTTGCCCGCTGACGAGGCCCCATTGGTTGAAAACGCGATTCGTTTGGGCCAATCGCCCGCCGCCTCGAGCCCCCCCCCCACCCCCCCCCCCCATGCTATTGGCGCGTTGCGTTTGAGACGCTTTCGCTCCGCCGTGGCGGGAATGATTGCTCTTTGTTGTGGGGGAAGGGGGGCGCGAGGGAAGGAGCTAGGTGCCACTTTAAGAAAATGTTCAATAGACGCCTATTGTGCGGTTTGTTTTTTGACCACTAAGGGGCTGGAATTCCGTCGGTGACCCCCATGCCCCATCCCACCCCCCCCCCACCCGAACTTAGCGCAAAGCCACTTTTTTTTCCCGAAAGCCACACATGAAGCGGAATTTCTAGTGCTCCGAGGCCTTTGGCGGACGCAGGTAGAAGTGCAGCGCTGGTGGAAGAAAGGCCGCGAAATATACGCGCTCGGACAGTCGCTGTAACGGCACGACACACACCCATCTCCAAAAGTTTGACGTTTTCTAAGATGCTGCATGCTTACCAATGTAGTGCCCCCCCCCACCCCCGCCGACCTCTGAAAATTTATAATTTGTTGGTAAAATGGCCGTAAATATCATACGTGGTAAAACAATAACACGCCAATTACGACGTCTTCATTTTTGCAAAGGTCTCATGTAAATTACGATGACTCTAATTTTGCAAAGGTCTCTAAAATGTAAAACACCTTTTTTTTAAAACTTTTTTTAACCAAACTGGTTCAAGCTAGTTTGGCGTGATTGCCATCAGTCAACGGCAGTTCTACGTGTATTCATCTTTATAGGAAAGTTCTAGTACTTTTTTTTTAGCTATTTGTCGTAAAACCATGACGTGTATTTATAATTGTTCTGTTAATGTTGAATGGTGTGGCTGCTTCATGGAAGCCCGCGTACCGGCCACGCCTATTAGTCATCCGAAAGAGTTGGTACAACCTTACCGGTTACTTTATCTGAGTCATACGTGGATTCAAATTATAGATTACTACAAAGCCCTGTGACACATGGACTGCATTGGCAAGCCTTTTAGCAATCACCATTAACACATCAAAACTTTTAAAGTTAAACCAGATATTTAGCAAAATATTAATCATACTAGGTGAAGCATACGATTAAAGTCTAAAACTGGTAATGTATTGTAAATACCAGCAGTCTGAATTATCCACATGACTAAATTAAAAACATAACGGTTCATACTTAAATACAAATTTTTCCAGGTATTCCATTTTATCTACATGCCGTTTTTCAAGCCTTTTCTTTAAGTTAGGGTGCCACAGTGGCGAGATGTTAACGACCTCGCTTGGTGTGCAGGTGGTTGTGGGTTTTAATCCCAACCCTTGACGCCTGTATATCCTGAGATTGCATGTTCTCCCCGTGGTCGTGTGGATTTTTCTCCGGGTCCTCCAGTTGTTCCCCCACATTCAAAATCAACGTGCATTTCGAGTATTTGGCTGCTATAAATGTCCACATGGTAAGCCACTTCGTGGAGCTATCATTTGTGATAGCCAGGTCGCTTCTGAAAAGCAGCTATATAGTTCAGTGGAGCCTTACCTGGTAAACTAAACGGTTGAGTTTAGCTTTAAATGGATGGTGTCAAATTTAAATAACAAGACAAAAAAAAACCCTTTGGGAAGGTGGCACTTTGTTTTCTTCGTCGCAAAAGACATGAGCAGGAAAGGTCATATTTCCAATTTGAAATCGAACCCATAGGCCACAAGACAATGGCACAAATGAATGTGTGCGTGTTTATTTTCTCTACTTAAACGTACGTCGATAAGTCGGGAGGTTTATATTCAAATGTACTGAATTTCACACTGTAGCAGCTTGGGGTGTACTGTGAACACAGCTGTATAAAAATGAAAACGTACTTTACCGTTGCAAAATAATATTTGCTAAGAAACACCTGTCCTCCAAGCCAGCTAACCCAAAATGTGCAAGTTTTTTTTTATAGCTTTCAGTTGTCTTATGTTATTTGTAGACGTTTGAAGTTGCCAATAAATTAAACATGCGTTTAGACTATTTAGATTATTTGGCTGCTATAAATTTCCACATGATAAGCCACTTCTTTGAGCTATCAGTTGTGGCCAGGTCACTTCTAGAAAATAATCTAATACCTCGGTGGGCTTTACTTGGTAAGATAAAATAGTTTAGTTTTGTAAAACATTTTTGTTCGTGATTTGTTTACATTTCCTATACTTTGCATTCCTATCGTGTTTTTTGTATTGTAATGTTTTGACCCGCCTCGACTGGACATGTTGAAAAGAGCTTTATAGCTCATTGTATTCCTCCAATATAAATAAGTTTTCTGATTCTGAAATATTATATTCTGATGCCTTCCCTGGTTTCTTTTACAGTCTGCAATGTGGAAGAAAATGTATATTTAAAGTATCTCCCTTCCCAAATGAGCATTGGGTCAGCATTTATACAATACTCTGTTTGCTGCATGGAGATAGCAATGAACATTCCACATTACAATGACAGGGACCAGTATAGCCATAGGACTACCACTATTGACTTCCCGCAAAGATGGTTATAATAATTTCTCTAAAATGTCTCGGATATAGAAAAAGCATCAATGTGCTTTCCGGCTGAATAATACACCGGCTAGAGGGCTCAACTCACACAGAAGGTTGCAAATCTTGGTAGGAGGTCAACTCGGCATCTTATTATCCCTCACGGGTCAGTAAAATGAATGCGTTTGTATAGGTAGTATAGCAGCAGGGCTCCCAATTATAATATTAAGAGGTGAAGTCCTGGCCAGGGTTGAATTGCTCATTGAGGATGCGATGAATAAGCATGACCTGAAGAAGCTCCGCCACTTGGTGGGAAGTTAATATTGTCAGTCTTATGGGGACATTGGTCTCTGCCATGGGAATGTGGAATTTCTACTCCTGGCTTGGGCCAGCCAATGGATATGAAACGCTGCTTCATGGCTGGTTAGAGCATGGAAACACTTTAAATTAACTTCAGCTACTTTGGTGCTTGAATACAACTGAGATACGCAGCATGTTGTCTAAAAGACTAGGCCTAAGCCTGCCGCGACGCTGTCTTATGCTGTTCAGGAAGGTTCTACATTATTGTAGCTAATTTCTCACCTCACCCGGATTCGTGATGTGGACATGCTGAGCTTGGTGCCTTATTATAAAAAAAGACACTTGAACGACGCTTAAGGTTGTGAACAAATGGAGTTTGTTATTTACTGCTTCCCACGCTTTTCTTCTGCAGAAGGCGGAGCCCCAGGGACAGAAGAAACCAAGGGGACGTCCTCGCAAATGGGTGAGCTCTTGCGACCGAGAACATACCTGCACCGTGATGGCGAGATGTTAACTACCTCGCCTGGTATACAGGAGGCCGTGGGTTCAATCCCGACCCTGACGCCTGCTGTATATGCGGAGTTTGCATGTTTCCCCGTGGTCGCACGGATTTTGATCTAGGTCCTCCAGTTTTTCCCTTCACAATGAGAAACATGCGCTTCGAGTATTTGGCTGCTGTACATTTCCACAATGATAAGTCATCCATAATAGAGGTTTTTGGGTTAGATCATATAAATATAAATGTGTCGTTAAACCTGCCACCACCCGACTTAGCCAATTAGTAAGGTTTGTCACGTCAACACAACATGCCAACCGTCACTAATATAGCACACCGGTGTGTTGGAGAGTAAATCCACAACATTTATAATCGGAGTACGATGTTTCGCCAGTAATTACAAAGAGCCATCGCCAGGCGACAGCCAAATCTGGCTTGTGAAAAAAAAAAACAGAAACTGTATAGCTCAGCGGGTCTTGCTTGGTAAAATAAAAAAAAATGTTTTTTGGTTTAACAGTTTAATACGTGGCATCTACTCGCAGTTTTTTTTTTATTGTGCCCACATTCACGTACTGCGCTTGATTCCAACTCAACAGAGTCGGTGAGTAATATTACTGCGGAGGCTGTCGTGGTCGTGCCGCGTCACTCTCCGACGTGGTTACTGGCCATGCCGCGTGTCGCTCGCCATGATGTTCCCGACGTTTTTGCTCAACGTGCTAGGATTTTTTATTTTTTTTTATTTTTGTGAACTGAAGTTCCAGGTACAGAAAGTTCGAAGTGAAACCATTACAAACCCCGAAAGCGCATGAGAGAGAGAGAGAGCGAAGCATTTGCTAAATGGTAAAAAAAAAATCCCCCAATCGTGAAAATTTTTTAAAATTGCAGCGACGCGCAAAACATCTTTTTTACGTAGTTTTTTTTCAGAACGCGTTTAGCATTGCAAATAAATGTAAATTGTGAATCAAATTTGGCCACGGTTTCTCTGTAGCCGATTTTAGAGAAGCAAGCAGCGGCCGCTATTCACACTTCTGGTGAATAATGATAAAATAAGTGTTTTTCCCCATTCCGATGAAGTAATGTAAATTTCATACACAAACACACGCAAATCATTGAAGACCTCATTCTTTGGCCAAAATATTTGTAATTTAACTTCAGCATCTGATACTATAATGGACTTTGCGGTAAGTTAATACAGCGAATGGTATTTTATGGAGCAGCGGTCAGTTGCATAAAACACCTTGAGTGAAATGAAATCGCCCCCCCCCCCCCCCCTTTCAGCAGTGCCTCGTAGCTTTACATTCGTAGCTTTTTGCCCGCCCCCCCCCCCCTCTTCCTACGCATGTTAATCGAACGCTGCTATAAATAAGCTGGAGCGAAGAAGCCTCGCAGTCTTACTTTACGTAACTTTGCGGGACAAATTTCACGTGGCCACCCATACACTGCAAATAAATAAAATACATGGCACGGTGTGCGCGGCTACCCCTATTACAGGCGAGCACGTTGCCGGCTTTGGTGAATAAATTATATACTTGCTTCAACAGTGCGTTCATTTCATCGCCGCCTGCCGTGCCGTTGGGTGGCCGCGGTGTTCGTTTCTCTACAAGCTGATGTGGTCGGTGTGGCACAGCCCCCTTTATACCGCGTAGTCTATCACTCGGCATGCAGTGATTAATCAACGGCAATCGATTTTTTGTTGTTTTCTCTCATGATCACACATTCCTAGAATCGTCCGTGCAGGGAATCGATTGTGTGGTTTTTTTTTAGTCGTGCAAATTTTGTGATGATAAGTTTTCCCCTTCAGGGTTAGGGTTTGAATGACCGATACTAAACACGTGGTAATGTACACACACGGCACACGAGACGGGATGACACGGTGTAAACAAGACAAAGAAATAATCAATTCCTTCCTTTACCATGACGCTGATTATTATTCATCACGTTGTACAGAGGTGCAGCATTACATCCCTGTCCCCCACATCCTTTGATCATTAATCAAAATGGGTAATGGTGATATGTTGTATCCCCTTCCTCATCCACGCTGGATGAAGGGCCACCCCACAACTTTTGGTCACGAGAGTAGTTTGACCATACTTCACCACGATTTGTTAATGCGGGTTGTCGAAGTTGAGTCCCCAGGGCTGGTTCAGATATCATTCGTCACTGACGTTAGCCTTGACCAGCTATCGAACTTAGGATTCCGGAGGTTCAGAGCGCCAGTGTGCTAACCACTGCCCCCCCCCTTTGGCTTTTTGCGATGATCGTACCTGGCGTGGACGGTGTGTAACCGTTGTGCAGCAGTAAAGGCGCAAGCCAAAATTCGGAGAAAAAAAACCAAAATAAAGTAAATCTCCGAAAATAAAAGTTAAACATTGTGTGATTAACACGCAAGGGGGAGGCAAATAAAATAATAAAATCAGCAGTACAAGATGAAAAATGCAATGGGAGCCCGTGAAAAGTGCACAAAACATTACAGTAAGTACAGAATGTGCGTTGTAAATACAAAAAAAAACCGAGCGATTCATTTATAATATTTCGCAGCCTTTTGTCAATTCACTGCTGGGTTAAGGCCAACCCCACACCTCCTTGGTTGTGGGAGTTATTTAATAATACTTCACCACGCACGGTAGCCGAGGTGGAGATGAGATGGGTGGAAAGGTGGTGGTGGTGGCCTTGATTTAATCCAAGTGAGAACTCATTGAGACAATGTCACTCAATATGCGTGGGGGATTTGAAGAGAATACAATGTGGAAATGCAGCTATGACAGGCATTCGCTTCAAGAGCCATTTCAGATTTGTTTTCGACCGCCAGTGTACACCTTCGCATGGCAATGCATCTGGGTATGTTTGTCCTGGTTAAGCTCTACCTCTGTCCGATGCATTTTTGGGGGTATAATTTGCGTTCGGAGTATCTTCGGAAATCTGCCGCGGTTGTCCAACGCCAGCCATTGCGCCGAAACAACAACTCGGTCCGACCGCGATAGCGCTTCCGAGAGCTGCACGACAACAACAACAACCCTGCAGTTCATGGGACTGACTGGCGACTGAGCGGGACTGCGTAGTGGACGGCTAGCGGTGTGCTCCTGCACTTCTGCGGTTGCGGCGGAGAAACTAGTTCAGGTGCACGCTCAAATTAGCAGCGAGCGGGGCTGCTTGCGGGCGGGGAGGAAGGTGCAAGAGACATAAAACTGCACGCTGTCGGCTAGATATGCCTGTGCGGTTGGGGATTGCACATACGGGGATGGGGAGAAAAAAAAACGGTCGCCCCCGCTCGGCAAAAACAAAGGTAGGTATGTTGTGTTCACACGGCAAACACGGAGCCCCTTCCAGCTGCAGCTATCTTCTGTAAACAGTCATGGGGACTGATTTGCAGGGCGGGCGGAGGGGGGGGCAGTCCGTGAGCTGTAGTGTGTTCTGTGGGCGTTGGTCCACGTTGTTGCAGCTTTGGAACTAGTTTAGACCTGCTCCCGGCCCAAGTCGCGCAGGAAGATCCCACATCACGTGCGTACGGCTCTAGGGCTCTGGAACGCGACAGAGTTTGTTGTGCAAGTCTGAAAGAGTTTTGTGTAAAAAAAAAATTTCCAGCATTTTTTTTTCAAAAAAAAGTTTGTTGTCATTCAAGGTACACATATTCTTAGTTCTTTCGGTAAAGTCACGTTGAAGGGAAACAACAAAATAATAAAATATATATAAAACAATAACAATTTTCACCAGTGAGAATTTTCTCACCAGTGAGAATTTTTATTGTTTTATATATATTTTATTATTTTGTTGTTTCCCTTCAACGTGACTTTACCGAAAGAACTAAGAATATGAATTACTGCAGTCACGAAAGCTTTAAATCAAAATTCAAGGTACACGTCGCATCGGTTGAGTCTGTTGTAATCCGCCCTGTATGGGTTCTGTGAGCAGAAGGGTTATTTTGTGTTTTGCCACTAAGCCATCTGTCACACATTGGTGACGGTTCCATCTCACCATGGTCCCAAAGTGTTTCTTAAACTAAACTTTTTTTAGTATTTTACCCAGGTAAGACCCACTGAGCTATTAGCTCTATTTTAGAAGCCACCTGGCCACAAATGATAGCTCAACGAAGTGGCTTATCACGTGGTAATCTAGAGCAGCCAAATACTCAATGCAGGTTGATTATAAATGTGGAGAGTAAAAGCGGGGGACCTGGAGGAAAATCCACGTGACCACGGGGAGAGAGACACGCGAACTCCAAATACACAGCAGGCGTCAGGGTCGGGATTGAAGCCACAAACTCCTGTATACCAGGCGAGGCAGTTAACATCTCCTAGCCACCGTGGCACCCAAGCAACAGGGCACACTTTTCTGCGAACATTTTAAAAAACAAAATACCAGAAAAACCCTTCCTCGTGTAATTAGAGCTATCCAGCTGTCTCTTTTAAAATAGCTAATCATGAGCAGTGTATTCAAAAGTGAAGAAATAAGTGTAATGAATGTATTTTAAGTTTAAATCATTAAATGCCACTACTGGGTATTGGCCTACAAATCCAGATTATTTCCCTTATGAAAAGGTCTAAAATCTTAGGTTTTCCCTGGTAAAGGAATACCATCTCTCGTGTAATACATTGTACAACTTGTGTATATTAATATTAAAATGTATCATGTGAATAGGAAATATATATTTAAGTCAAAATACTTTAACCTTACGCCGTATTTAGGTGAGTGATATTTGGAAGAGGCCTTCCATTAAACCACCACTTATTGGTCAAATATTAATACATATTAAGTCATATGCAAAGGCAAAACATAATATAATAACAGATATTCAATTTAACAACCTGGTTGGAACAATAACATGTACATAATCTTTGTTGTATAAAATCGTTCACCTAAGCACTTTAATAGTGGCAGAATAAATGGTTAATCATGCGTTTGCTGGATCAAAAGACATTTCTCCTAAGCTCCAACTCTTTTGCAATTTGTACCTCGGTTGGTAGTCTAGC